CTTGCAAGCTACAGTGACACCTACAGTACTGAAAAGTACATTCCAAGTGTAGCATTGCCTTCATCTATGGAAATAAGGCAAATTAGAGAGACACTGTTCTCCGTCCTCTATATAAATCTTTACTTCAGCTGGTGCTTTATTTGTGATTTAGATTGGAATACTTCCTCCTACCTAACTTAATAGCTATTACTGTATGTTTAGCATTGCTGCAGAGTGTTTCTCGCAGCTGTTGTTAAGACTAAGATGCTGCTTACTGGATAGGTCGGTCATTATACAATATATGCTAATCAGAACAAGGAGAAAAAAAATGATCAAAGCTGGGATCGGTAGGATCTATTGTCCTACTGATTCAGCAGGTTGGGATTTTCTACCTAATAGATAGAGGTTGTTGATACAGAAAGCGATTGCATAGACAAAAAGGGTGCCTATGCAGAAGTTGTTACTACATGTTCTTTCAACAAACTCCCTCCACATCCCCATCTTAAATGGAGTAATGAAGTCCTACTGTGAGATGGACTGTTTCTTAGGAAAATGACTAGACACTCTTTTGTTATTGTGCCTGACTTCTCCTTAGGGAAGTTAAAATGTAAGATAATCTCATACTTGTATAATTATCATATTATCGCAACAATTTTACAACCTCCTAGGAGAAGATTGATAAGTATTTTCTCTGGTCTTGCTTTCTAAGAACTAAAGCCACATTGCACATCTGGAAACTTTTAATCTTTTATCCAACTCTGTTTTTGTTCCTGACATTACGATAGATAGATAGATAGATAGATAGATAGATAGATAGATAGATAGATAGATAGATAGATAGATATAGATGCACTGAGGCAAGGTATTTTTTGTGCAATTACTTTGCACCATTTGTGGGATGTTACAGGGTACAGATGTCAGTGTTTTATCAATTTAATTCTCATGTTGACTCTAACTTCTTTCACTACTTTAATATTTATTTATTTATCAAATACATATATAATTGCCTTTCATCTTGTTCAGAGTGACTCTGGGTGATGTAGAATAAAACCAATAATTACAACGTATTACAAAGAGCAACTTTAAAGAATTAGACATTAAAAAAACTTTGATTTTTGAGAGGGTTAAAATCAGAATGTCATACGTGATACAACCCGTGTGTGGGCCTGTTGGAAAAAAACCCTGTGTTTAAGGGACATTTGGAAGGTCACAAGAGTCAAGTAGATGTAACTGGGAAGAAGTGATGTGCAGATAACCTGGCCCCATGTCATATAGGGCTTAAATGTCAAAAACAGCTTCTTGATTTGCACTTGAAAGAAAACTGGTGATCAAGGCAGCTCATGGAGCAGAGGTGTAGGAGGGCTAAGACGGGGCTTGAACTTGCAATCTCCTGTGGTCTGGTACCTTATTCAAACTTAGACCAAACTGGAAATCTTATGCCAGTAGAGCACACTGATGATGAATGACGGATAGCATGTAGCTCTTTGAATTGATGGTAGGGAAAGACCCACAGAAAGAAGGTCAGAAGAATACAGTTTATTTCCATACATTCAAAACTTAGGAAAAAGATTCCTTCCTCCCAAGAAAACTCTATTTCCATGTTCACACTGAGAAATCTCTACTCCTCGCCAGTTCATCTATATATTTCTCTCCAGAATCTAAGCAAATATTTCTAAAATCAACTACAGCAATTCAGTATTAAAATTTCCAAAATTTGTCCTGGTAGAAAGTGGGTGGGGGGGGAACCTATTTTAAATTGAAACAGGTGCATATAACTTTAAGCTGTCTCATTAAGGCAACACTAAGTGTATTTAAAAAAAACAAGTCATGAGTGCATCTTTATGTCAGTGTGGGGAATATGAGAATCTGCACATAAAGAACAACCAGTTGGCTACATTAAAATGCTCTCTATGTAGTCCTTGAATTGGCAGAAATGTTGGCTAATATAAAATTTACCGGTACATCTATAGTGCCTTATTCTAGCATAATAAGAATGATGAGTGGTTGTTTTAATGCAAGACAAGTTAAGGAAAGCTATTTGTGCATTTTTCCACTTTTGTTTCTCCTTTCACCAAGCATTGCCTGCTGACAGGAAATTGACCAACAATCACTTTCCTTAACACAGGGCATAGTGCGGATGGATGAGTGGGTTCATGGAATTGTAGTTTTACCCACCTCTCAAGTATCTGAACTAATTCGTTGCATTTATCAGTTAGGCTTTTTATGAACATGAGCATAATTGTGCTAAACCTGTGTTCAAAAGAAGCCTGGCTCACAAAATATGGAATATTGGCATGATGTGAAGCAGGAAAGAGCAATCCGTAAAAAGCAACCTTCATCCTTGATTAGTGCAACAATGGAACAGCAAGTATTAGTAGTAATTCCAATTTTGTCCTTGTGGAGAGCAGCAAATGCTGCTACCAAATGCTATTATCCACAAGGACATAATTGGAACTGGCCATGGATTTGGAAAGGATTAAGAAAAAATGGCACACCCACATCCCCAAAATAATAAAACAGTAAAAATTACAGGTACATGAAACCTCTTGTAGGCAGAAACGGTCAAAAACCAGTAATCTAAGCAAACATGAAAGAACCAGGAATAGACAGCAAAATAGGACCCAGCATTTTTTAAATTTACATTTACTAATTGTGCATGTAGATGAGCATTCTCATAAAACAGTGTTACGCCCGTTTGTAAGAAACTGATGTGACACCTGGCAAGCAGTCTAGAAGGTGCCAGTCAGCATTAAATAGAAAGATGCCTTGGCAGAAGCCAGTATCTGGATTTTCCTGCAGACAAAGTTACCATGGACAATGCCCAGGAATCCAGAGGTCCAGAAAGCTGCTCCACAGCAGGCTAAAGCAGCTTGGCAGACCCCAGCTTTGGACCTACATCAGCAATCACACTGTTGATGAAGCACCGTATGCTAGATTTCACCTCTGCAAAGATGTGGCAAGAAAGTCTCAGAGTAATTGTGAGAATTATGGAATTCTCACACAGGGCTGTCTGCTCTCTCCACTACTCTTTTCTCTCTACATATATCAATGACTGCATATCAAAGGATCCCTTTGTTAAAGTACTGAAGTTTGCAGATGATACAACAGTGATTGGTCTCATTCGAGACGATGGCAAATCTGCAGACAGGAAATTGAACAACTGACCGTGTAGTGCGGCCAGAACAATCTTGAACTGAATACACTCAAAACTGTAGAGAAGATAGGAGACTTTAGGAGAAGCCTTCCTATTCTACCACTTCTTACAATACTAGACAACATAGTATCAACAGTAGAGACCTTCAAGTTTCTAGGTTCTATAATATCTCAAGATTTAAAATGGACACCTGGCATCAGAAATGTCATCAAAAAAGCACAATAATGAATGTTCTTCCTGTGCAAACTCAGAAAGCTCAGACTGCCCAAAGAGCTGCTGATACAGTTCTACAGAGGAATTATTGAGTCTGTCATTTGAACCTCTATAACTGTCTGGTTTGGCTCTGCAATCAAACAAGACAGACACAGACTTCAACGGAGTTAGGGCTGCAGAAAAAATGATTGCAACCAATCTACCTTTCATTGAAGACCTTTTATACTAAACAAGCTAGAAAGAGGGCTGTGAAAATATCTACAGACCCCTCATATCCTGGACCTACAGTATATTATTTCAATTCCTTCCCTCAAGACTATGCTACAGGGCATTGTACGCCAAAACCACGAGACACATAGACAGTTCTTTCTCCATGCTATCACTCTACTAAACAGTAATTCCCACAACACTCTTATGCCCTGAGATGACAAACCACCTAGTAGGGCTGTATTACTATTATCCTTCTCATCTTTCCTATTGCCCAATTCCTTGGCTTATGACAATAACTTTGTTTGTATCTTATGATTATGTTTTCTATTTAGTATCCTATTATGATTTATGTTGATTGCTTATTTAGTATCCTATGACTATCACTGTGTTTTATCTTATGATTGTATTTATGATTATGATCATGATTTATCACTTGTTGCTTTTATGTACATTGAGAGCTTATGCACCAGAGACAAATTCCTTGTATCCAATCACACTTGGCCAATAAAGAATTCTATTTTTTCTATTTTCTATTTTCTATTCCATTCCATTCCATTCCAGAGTGGGGAGGAAGATCTCACTAGTATTTTCTGAAAAATTGTGTGGCAACTTATCTATTATAGGAGTTATTTTAGAAACAGAAACACCCTCTCCCAAATTACATGTATTTTATCAATATTCATAGTATAGCTACTTGGGCTACCTAAAATGACGTATGCTACTGTATTATCCTGATTCAGCAAATTTACCTGCTTAGTCTTAACTTTCTGTATTCGGATGTGTGTTTTGAGGGATAAAACTTATAATAGAAGTCAAGATTTTCAGCCTTCAGCTTCTTGGGTCTCTTTACATGTCATTTGTATTTGTAAATTTAACATTTTCCAGCATTATTCTAAGGCACGGGTAAATTTGCAAACTACTTATCCATGGTTAGCGTTATACTGTAATTTATTTAGTTTTCTAGAGTCCCATAATATACTAAAGCATACATTAACTACAAGAATTGGCATCGATCAGATTCCTAAAACTTTAGCAAATGCTGCCTCTGTTCCAAATGGTTACAGAAAAGGATTGGCAAGATCAGACCAGGTATTTAAAATAAACTCGGGAAGGAGAGCTGTGCTGCATTGCTATAAACAGGTGGAATCCTCCTTTGGGGTGCAATATTTGCTAGATAAATGAATGAATAGCACCCATCAACCAAGACACTTGGAAATTAAGGAAGTTGGCTTCGAGGTTCAAAACATTTTTAATTTTAGTTTTGGCACGCAGAACTGTTGGCGAGATCCCACCCCCACCCCCCACCCCCGGATGGTTAAGCGTCTGACACCAAGAGCGCAAAAAACAAAAGTGAAGCACAAAAGCAGTTCCGCTCCGGGACAAAATGGCCGCCGGAGCCCTCGTCTTCTCCTCCCCTCCGCGCCATTTCCGGGGGAGGGGGGGGATGCGACCGGAAGTGGGTCGCGTTTCCAAGATGGCGACTCCCTATGTTACTGATGAAACCGGTGAGTGTGGGAGCTACGGTTGGGGTGTGAGGGACGTAATTTCGAGTGCCGGACTCTTTCTTCCCCTGACTCCCCCCAACTCGCACATCCGCCTCCCCACCTTCACGCCCGGCCGCTCCATCCCCGGTTCTTTCCGAAGCGAGGCTCCTCCCCATCTCCATCCTCGCTTGTCTGTCCCGCTCTTACGCCACGCCCCCTTCCTCGAGGGCGTCCCTCCTTTCTCTCTGGGCTGCCTGTTCTCCTCGCCGCTGGGCCCCGCCCCTTCCCGGGCTCGCCTTCTCGCGCCACGCCCCTTGCAGCAAGGCAGCCCGCTCCGCGCCCGCGGCAAGCCAGTCCCGTGGCAGGTGCGAGGCGCGCGGGTTTCCCCCGTCTTCGCTTTCTCACGTGTGTAACAGCAAGAGAGCAGCCTCTACGGGGATTGCCTTTGCCGTATCCCAGGAATTCCCTTGGGACTGTCACCTCGGAGGGCGTCTAACTCTAAAGCTTCTTAATCTAGGACTGTGGCTTCATTGTATATGCATTACATGTGTCCTTTTCCATCGAAGCTCTTGTAGAAGTATTGGGACCACCAATTCCCATCATCCCCAACCAGTTTTGGTGGGAAAGATGGGGATTGCAGTCCAATTATATCGGAAGAAATGAGGTTTAGGGGGAAAACGGTATCTAAATCAAACGAGGGATATTTAATTAGAGGTATCTAATGAAAATGGCATCTAAATCAAATTAGTCAGTTTTGGGGAATTTAGGTATCTAAATTATATCTGTGATGGGATCCAACAAGGTGACCTGGTACAGATATGGCTCTATAACCTATTTTTATTTCTTCCCCGCCTTTTCTCATAATGAAGTTGCCTGATAAAAGAAGCATTTGTGGCTTAAAAGATTTCACTGATTTTTTAAAAAGTCAATAGGCCTAATAAATTCCTAATAAAATAATACAGCAAAATTTCTAAGGAGGTCCTTATATTGATTTTGCTTTTTTCCCCCACAGGTGAGTATCTACAATTCTGTATGCATAGCTTGTACATGCCAAACCTCTAATGTGAATCTTAAGCTCACTGTTCTCTTTTGAAGTGAATTTCCATCCATTTTTTAATTGCAGGTGTTACTGGTTTCTTCCCCCCTAACCTGTGTCTTTGAATATAATTTAACAGTTGTGCAGAATTTTTGAAGAGATTAAAATTTCTGGACTTTTCCTCCCTTGACCAATGAAGTTTCAGAGTAATCCTCCTGGACTTTTTAGTCAAATCTATATATAATAGAAGAGTCTTTGAAAAGCGCCTTTTCAATATAAAAATCTTGTTTATAATGATTTTTCTCTTAAGAATAGTTTTATGAAATGGATTAAATTAAGCGAGAAATTGACCAAAGTCACCCTGTCAGCTTTGTGTCTGAACTACAGATTTTAATCCAAGCCTCTTTAGTAAATTGCTGTGGTTGGTTTAAGGAAGCAGTGTAGCCTTATTGCCTCTAAAAATACTAGTGATTTTTGTATGTGTCTGTTTTCTTTATGGCAGTTTTAATTTGTTATGTGTGTTATGCATTAATTGTTTTGCATATGATCATATGCTGAACATCTGCCATTTTATCTTTTTTTTATGAGAATCCTGTGCTAACTTACAGGATCACTGACAGGAACATTTTGTAAGTATTAAGTGTTGCCATGTAAAAAAAAAAATCCTTCCTTACTTGTGAGGAAATGCAGACGCATTTTGCTTTCATTTCTTTATATCTTTACCTTTAATATAAAAAAAGGTAAAAAGTCTCCTTTGTGTTAGTTCCTCAATTCCTCATGACATCATGGAAACCCCCATCTAACTTTATTACCAAAGGTACCAAAATGTTTTGCCATTGTTTTTTGCTAAAAGTTTTTTTTACTTCTTTGTCTAGTGAGTCCAAAACCTTGGTATTTTTTAGGTGGTCAGTGGTCACCCTTCCAGACACTAACCAGGGTCAACTCACTCCTAGTGGTGCACACCGATTTTCCTCATTTATAAGTGGGAAGACTCAAGTCCAGGAAGTCCCCACTGGCACTTGCACAATATCTGCCCAACAATTTTTAACATCGGATCCCAATGGGAAGCCAAATGGGTCGCTGAATGCCCAGATGTAGGAAGAATATTGTATAAATGACCCCACAAAAAAGGTGCCAGGCTTTGAACTACTACATCAGCAGTGGACAATCCTGAATAGGATTCGCATCTCACATGGTGTCTGCTGGGGCTCACTGTATAAATGGGGAATAGTATCTTCTCTTCAGTGTGACTGTGGAGTCCCATGTCAAACTAGATCACATTGTGGCTGGCTACAAGCTGACGGCATATACTGGTCCAGTATCTGATTTTTTTTTCATATAAATGATGCTGCACTTCAATGGTCAGATGGCCTAGACATTGGTATTTGAACACAGATCTTTTAAACATATTTTATTGTGTTTTACTAATTTAGGTAAAATGTTAATATATATTGCTGTTCCATGTTATGACATGCCATACACTAAATAAATAACCTAACCAGGGTTAGATTTTTATGATTAGTTGAAAATCTATGATTAGGCTGCTTGTGGAATTTGTGTATATCTTTTTCCTGTTTTGCAGAGGAATTTTTTTTAAGCTTGAAACTCCTATTGATCACCCAGGAAAATATGACTTGACTGGTTGATTAATTGACTGATTGATAGCAGTTTCCTTCCCAAACTAAAATAACCAATCCATATTTCAGGAAAATACATCGCATCCACACAGCGTCCAGATGGTACCTGGAGAAAACAAAGACGGGTGAAAGAAGGCTATGTTCCCCAAGAAGAAGTGCCAGTGTAAGTCTGATCCTCACCCTGCTCCTCTTTTGGATATGAACAGAGAAGTAGCCACACAAGCAAAAATAAACACTCTTGTAATAGCTTAAAGGCTAACATAAGCATGATTGCCATGGATCACAAACTACCTTACCTGATGCACGAAATGTTATTTTATATAATCTTTATCCTCCCCTTGTATTAGTTGTGTATATGTGATGCTCCCTGCATTTGCTGAAGCCGACTGTAGTTCATGAAATCTCATTTGATTAGAAATGCATTAGTCCTTAAGGTAGCACAAGACTGTGGGTTCTTGGGGTAGGAGGGCAAGAAAGCAAAAAACAGGGCTAGGACATTGCCAGGGGACACACACAGACAGACACACACGCACATACCCCTTCCATCATCATCTTCAGTCTTTGGAATGATATTCTTGAAAAAAACAGTTTTCATTAGTGATGTGGCCTCAGATCAGGAAGAACTTGATCTGCTTTTGATAGGAAAAGCTCGGAATTCTCAGTAAGCATTTAATGCTTTTAGATTATTAGTTTTTTGACCTAGCCTACTGACTTTTTGAACATTTAGCTCTGCTAAACAAATAATTCCCTCAACACTGTCAAACTACTAAGTCTGCACTACTATTAATCTTCTCATCGTTCCCACTACCCATCTCTTTCCACTAATGACTGTATGACTGTAACTTTGTTGCTTGTATCCTTATGATTTATATTGATATTGATTGTTTCCTGATTGCTTATTTGTACCCTATGACTATCATTAAGTGTTGTACCTTATGATTCTTGATGAACGTATCTTTTCTTTTATGTACACTGAGAGCCTATGCACCAAGACAAATTCCTTGTGTGTCCAATCACACTTGGCCAATAAAAAATTCTATTCTGTTCTATTTTATTCTATTCTATTCTAGATGTTCAAGACAGTATATACTTATAATTCTGACTATCTCAGTTTCCTTTTCCCCTTACAGTTTTTCTTTAGCTGAGATGGCTGAAGTGAAATGTCCTTATTCCAGGACAATAAATTTCTGAACATATTACTTTCATCATCATCATCATCATCATCATCATCATCATCATCATCATCATCATCATCATCATAATAATAATTTTATTTATATACCGCCCTTCTCTCGAAGGACTCGGGGCGGTGTACAGCCAAGATTAAAAACAAATATACAATATCATAGTTAAAATTAATTAAAATCATTAAATAGTTTTGGCCAAATTTTAAAACCCAATATTAAAACCCAATTTAAAATCATTCAGTTAGACAGCCCCGCCTGTCAGAACAGAAGGGTCTTGAGGGCACAGCGAAAGACCCGGCGGTCAGAGATGTTACGAATATCCGGGGGCAATTCATTCCAAAGGGCAGGAGCTCCGACAGAGAAGGCTTTCCTCCTGGGTATCGCCAGCCGACATAACTTGGCCGACGGTACCCTGAGGAGTCCCTCTCTGTGGGAGCGGACTGGTCGGTGGGAGGCTATTGGTGGCAGAAGGCGGTCCCGTAAATATCCTGGTCCTATGCCATGGAGCGCTTTAAAGGTGGTGACCAACACCTTGAACTGCACCCGGAAGACCATTGGAAGCCATTGCAGCTCGCGCAGGAGAGGTGTTACATGGGCATAATGAGGTGCGCCCATAACCACCCGCGCGGCCGCATTCTGGACCAGTTGGAGCCTCCGAGTGCTCTTCAAGGGGAGCCCCATGTAGAGAGCATTACAATAGTCCAGACAGGAGGTGATGAGGGTGTGAGTGACCGTGCGCAAGGCTTCCCGGTCCAGAAAGGGACGCAACTGGCGGATCAGGCGAATCTGATAAAAAGCCCCCCTGGCTACGGCCGTCATATGCTCTTCTAAAGACAGCCGTGAGTCCAGGAGGACACCCAGATTGCGAGCCCTCTCTGTGGGGGGCTAAGATTCACCCCCAATAATCAGCGATGGCACCAGCTGACTATACCGGGATGCCGGAAGCCACAGTCACTCAGTCTTGGAAGGGTTGAGCTTGAGCCTATTTCTCCCCATTCAGACCTGCACGGCCTCCAGGTAGTGGGACATCACATCAAGGGCATCATTAGGGTGGTTTGGGGTGGAGATGTACAGCTGGGTGTCATCAGCGTACTGATGGACTCTCACCCCAAAACCACGGATGATCTCACCCAGCGGCTTCACATAAATGTTGAACAGAAGGGGCGAGAGGACCGACCCTTGCGGCACCCCCCCAAGCGAGGTGCCTCGAGGTCGACCTCTGCCCCCCCTGCCAACACAAACTGCGAGCGGTCGGAGAGGTAGGAGAACCACCGTAACACAATGCCTCCAATTCCTAACCCCCTTAACCACTGCAGCATGATACCATGGTTGATGGTATCAAAAGCCGCTGAGAGATCTAATAGGACCAGGACAGAGGAGCAACCCCTGTCCTGAGCCCTCCAGAGATCATCAACCAACGCAACCAATGCCGTTTCTGTGCTGTACCCCCGCCTGAAGCCCGACTGGTACGGATCCAGATAGACAGCTTCCTCCAGGTACCTAGGTAGCTGTTGTGCCACCACACTCTCGACAACCTTCGCCACAAAGCGAAGGTTGGAGACCGGACGGTAATTTGCTAATACAGCCGGGTCCAGGGATGGCTTCTTGAGGAGGGGCCTCACCACCGCCTCTTTCAAGGCGGCGGGAAAGGCACCCTCACTCAAAGAAGCATTTATAATCCCCTGGAGCCAGCCTCGTGTAACCTCCCGGGAGGCCAGTACCAACCAGGAGAGACACGAGTCCAATAAACATGTGGCAACACTAAGCCCACCCAGAATCCTGTCCACGTCCTTGGTAGCCACAGGGTCAAACTCTTCCCAGATAATATTCTCAAGACTCACCCCCGTCTCCCTCCCCGGACTCACCCAGTCGGAGTCCAAGCCTTCCCAAATCTGAGCTACTTTATCATGCAGGAATTGCACAAAATCCTCAGCTCGACCCTGCAAGGGATCTTCCCGCACTTCCACCCGAAGGAGGGAGTGGGTCACCCTAAACAGAGCGGCTGGGCGGTTCTCTGCAGATGCGATAAGAGCGGAAAAATAGTTAGATTTTGCCGCTTTTATCGCCACTAGGTAGGTCTTGATATAAAACCTCACCTGTGTCCGGTCAGATTTGGACTAGTCCTCCAAACACTCTCTAGGCGTCTTTTCCGATGCTTCATCTCTCTCAGCTCGGAGAACCAAGGAGCCAATTGAGATCAGCATCGGGTCAGAGGCCACAAAGGCACGACACGGTCCAAAGCCCCTGCAGCCGCACTATCCCAAGCGGCCACCAGGTCTTCAGTCGTGTCGTGTGCCAGAGTCTCAGGAAACAGCCCAAGCTCCATCTGGAACCTTTCGGGATCCATCAGGCGCCTGGGACGGAACCATCTAGTCGGTTCCGTCTCCCTGCGGCGGGGGGAATTTTCTTTACTTGTGACAATGGAACGATGGATAGGTTTTTTTCAGTATTTTTTCTAACATGTGCTGTGTTAAAAGTTATTGGCTGATTGTGAAAATTTAGTTTCATGACTACTGTGGTGAGATCCAGTTTCTGAATCCTTTAGAAAAGGAGTGGGGAATTATGGCCCCTTTATGACCTGTGGACTTCAACTCCCAGAATTCCTGAGCCACCTAGGCTAGCTCAGGAATTCTGGGAGTTGAAGTTCACAGGTCATAAAGGGACCATAGTTCTCCACCCTTGCTTCAGAACTATACAGGACTATGACTTCAATGTGAACCGAGAACAAAGCTCACATTGCATTGTATAATTACAGTACTATAGGATTATGAATAATTCTAAATAGTTCACAACGTTTCTCCCAGGACTGTTAACAGTAATAATAATAATGATTTTTATAGCTTGGAGGGTACCAGGCTGGGAAAGTTTCTTCAGAATGGCAAAAAGAATGTCTGTTGATCAGTCAGCAGCAAGAAAGATTCAATGCTTGGCTAAAGTATTTTCATTTACCTGGAATGTAATGCAGCAGGAAGCAAGAAACACAGGGCATTGGGGCATTTTGTGGAACTATGCTGTAGCCAAATTTAAAGTTTTATATTCTGGGAGCTGCCTTGAGTTGCCATGTGCGAATAGGCAGCAATATAAATTCCCTAAATAAATAAATAAAGGCAGAAAAAGAAGTCAGAGGGTCTAAGATACTGATGCAGCACCTGTCTACAACTCCTTAAAGCAGCTGCCATTTCCCCCAGGTTTGGATGGTGGTCCTTTGCAATTGCAGCACAATCCCAGGAAAAATGTTTTATTTAAGGAGCTCAATACGGGTGTTTTGCACATTCCCCAGCATGCATTTCAGCACTCATGAACACTTTGAATGAGAATGTTGCGTAGCCATTATCTTTTTTAGACCAGAAGTGATTGTCCCAAGTTTCAGTGTTCATCTAGTAGGCTTAAAGCAGCATAAAGGTTGCTTGCATTAGTCTACTCTGAACGACGACTATGAAAATTTGCTGAGACCACCTGACCCAAGCCACCTTCTTTATATTTAACATACACTCTTTCCATTTTGTAGATTGCTATACAAAGTAACACTTTCTAAATGACCCGTATGCCCTTAAGTTAGATTTCTGCAGCTTGGTATGCTCCAAATGTTGTAATAATGACCTGTTTGATTCCCAGATAGCACTTTTTTGTAATTGCAACACTTCTAAGAAAGTTTTCAAACAGTCACTCCTGTGTGGGGGGGAGTTCCTTAGTGCTCTCTAAGCTTGGTGGTTTCCTTGCAGACATTTCATTACCAAACTAGGTTACATTATCAGTGCTAGTACTATTCTATCAGAGTCACTCCTCTCAGTCCAACCTATTTTACAGAAGTTCTGTGTGTGGATAAAGTGAAGATAACCTTCCGTGTATACCACCTTGAGCTTCCAAAGGAAACATGGTCTGTCTTTACACCACACTCTCTTTTATTTCATGCAGGTATGAGAATAAATATGTGAAGTTCTTTAAAAGCAAGCCAGAGTTACCTCCAGGCTTGAATCCAGAAGTTCACACGCCTGTGGCCCGTCAAACGTCAAAGGGACCCGAGGGTGGAGAGACAGGGCTCTCCAAGACCGCTAAGAGGAATCTCAAACGGAAGGAGAAGAGAAAACAGCAGCATGAAAAGGGGGATCGAGATGCCGATGACCTGATTCAGTCTCTAGAGAAAACAACCTTGTCGGCGACACCGAGCAGCTGTGGGGATGGTAAGCTGGCTGTGTCTGATGCCAACCCAAGAGCCCCTGCTGGCAGCAGGGATGTCTCATCGGCTTCCGCCACTGCCACCTTAGAGAAGAACAAGAAAATTAAAAACCTGAAAAAGAAACTACGGCAGGTGGAAGATCTGCAGGCGCGGATTGACTCTGGGGAGATCAAGCAGCCGACCAAAGAGCAGTTAGAGAAGCTGGCTCGACGGAAAGCTTTGGAAGAGGAACTTGAGGACCTGGAACTGGATTTGTAAAGGGTTGAAATATCAACCGGACCTAGTGTGCGTAGGAACAAACCGTCCCCTGGGGAAACATTCTCAGAACTGTGCAACAAAAAGACCAGAAGATGGTGATGTCTTCAGCCTTCTTTGTATCATTATTTTATTTTATGTTGGTGCTGTCTGAATTTTTAAAAGTATTTCTCCCAGCTGTTGATGTGTTAGCTATCTAGGACTTCTTTAAGGACAACAACTTTGCCACCTAGTTCTTTCTAGTTTCTTCCTCCCCTTCCCACCTCCATTCCTGTTCCAGGAGGGTGGCTGAAATGTCATTTCACACCGAGGGGCTGACTTTCAGAGGCACCTGAGCAGGAGGAACAGTCTGTCTTTTCCTCCTGCCACTGTATTATATTCAGCATTTTCATGTTCTCTGTAACAATCACACGGCCTTCCATCTTCTCTTCCTCCTCATTTTGAAAAAGGGGTGCAATAATAAAAATTGCAGTAGTGACTTCTGACTCTAGGACATCTGTGTTTTTCCCCCCAATGCACATTTTTTAAAAACATCTTCTGTATGATATTAGCAATTTTATAGGCTTCCCTTTCTTCGGCTGGTGAATGCAGCCCAGTGTCAAAAGCGGTTTGTGATAGATGTGAAAAAAGGGCCAAAGGGACAGTAGCTCAGTGATAGAACCTATGTTTTATACAGAGACATTCTGAAGTCTGATCCCAATTACCTTCAGATTGGAAAAAAAGTCCTGCTTGAAGCCTTGGGTGGCCACTGTCAATCGGCCTTAACAATGCTGATCTCACAGGGCTCTGGTTTAGCTAAGGCAGCTTCCAGGCTGGGGTTGCATAACATGCCCCTTGAGGCTAAAATGGAATGATTTGTAATGCACTTGTTGCACGAGCCTAGACCTTGTCTTACGTTGTGTGATCCAGACAATCAAATTTAAGTAACACAATTTATTTCCTTAGTTATATCTGGACAGCAAATCTGCTTGACTGCCAGGTGGCAGAACAGATTGGATCTAATTGTTGCCCTCTAATCATTGTCCAGAGTTTTTGCATCCCAGATAAAGTCTCCCTGGACATAACAATTGTGCTTGGTTAACTAAGAGCTGGATGTTTTGTGTGAATCTGGTCCCTGTGTTTCATGTAAGGGATTATTAGAAATAGAATCAATAATAAATGTGTGGATATGGTGTGATCATCCTCGGTGTAGTGGGCACAGTTCTTGTCCCTTTCAGATAACAGGAAATTTAAACTTGGGGAAAAGTGAACAGAAAGGCAGAATAAACGTGTATCTTCAATTTGAATAAAAGTCCAAGGGCTTCTTAGCCAAGATAACTAAATTCTCTCTCCCTTTCCTCTCCTTTCTCCCTCTCTTTTTCTCTCTCATTTCTATATTAGAACAATGGTCATGAATTTCCACAGCCTAAGACCAATTTTGGGAATGGATTCACTTAAAACATAGGACCAAATTTTAAGGGAGGAAATGACCAATCCTGGGGTGACCAGAAGCTACACTTAACTTTTGGAGTAATAGCAATAAAGTCTACAAAGAAAAGAGCAGTTATGTAAAATATGGGTAGCTGTGTTATAGACATGGCCAGGACAAAAAAATTCTGTTTGTTAGTTTTTTGTGGGATGTTCTTTGATGCTGAAACTGTTACTTTATTTATTTATGTATTGATTGATGTCATGCCTTTCACTCAGCAACTCAATGTGACACACAATACTCCCGCTTTCTAGTTTTCCTCACAAACACCACTGTGGCTTAAACTGCCATTTTTATATATTCTCCACCTCACCTGGCGGAAAGCTAAAATTGAGTAATTTAGTTGGAAGAATTTTTTAAAAAAATCTGTGGTTTCATACACAGAGAGAGACAAAGGGTTCAGGCTGCAGATGGCCCTACAGTATATGTTATCTTCCTGGTTAAGGGGAAAGAATCTGCAGTGTAATCATATTATATCTAGATATGTTAATATGCTAAAATATTTTCATCGAGGTCAGAGGCTCTTTCATGTGTCCCAGTTGAGATGTCTATTCGGTTTAAGAAAACAAAATTTAATTTCACACTTCTAGTTTAAATTGAGAGAGATATTTCTTTCTGTCCCTTAACACTGGCATGAGCAAAGTGCAGTCTCTGACCCAGTCTCTGAGCAAAAATTGAAGCTTTCAAGGTACTACTGGGTTACACTGAAATTGCCAAAGGCGGAAGGTGGGAAAAAAGCAAGGGAGTTTTAAAAAAAATTAGGCTAAAGTTTCAGCCATGAAATCGCTGCAGTTCAAAGTCAGTGTCAAGAAATAGAGTGCACGCTGAATGCCTTTTGTTAGTGGAAGGTAAGGTTGGTATCAAATTGCACCTCCTGTTCAGGAACAGTGAAAAAAAAAAACCAGCAGCAGCTGTTCCTACAGCTGTGTGAAAACTAAAGGACAGTAACATTGGCCAATGCTGGATTAGGGGTTTCGTTACCTTTGTCCAGCAGGTGGTGCTAAAAGGTCTTATTAACAGGGCAATCTTGTATGCTCAGCTACTTGTTTTGTTCTTGAAGCCACCACTCGAAGCACACATGCTAATATGCCTTTAGATCAGGGGCGTCCAATCTTGGCAACTTTCAGACCTGTGGACTTCAACATCTAGAGTTCCCCAGCCAGTCATTCAGCATAGCTGGCTGGGGAATTCTGGGAGTTTGAAGTCCACGGGTCTGAAAGTTGCCAAGCTTAGATACCCCTGCGTTAGATGGACTATCAGAAATGCAACGTTCAGGGTAACACATACGCACACTATGCCATATATCGAATGACAAATTTGCAGGTCCCTTTTTAGGCCAACATGCCTGGCCAAGGCATTCATACATAACTAACCTAGATCTCATCCCAGACTGGTTTTTACATATTCCTCTGTAGTCCTTAGATGCAGATCACTGAGCTCATGGCTGAGAATAAAAAGAATAACCGCATCATTTGAAAAACTAGCTTTGCTTTCCAGAGAGCCACTCATTGGACAGATGAGGACTCAGGATAGCGTTGCCTCTACTAGGGAGGATCGGGGAACAGGACCCCTTCTAGCAAGCATTGGTTCCAACTATCATTAGGCTTTCCAATTGTAGCCAATAGTCGCAAGAAGTCACCACTTCTTGTTGTGAAAGCGAATTGGAGAATACCACATGGTTCCCAAATACCCTTTATCTGTTGTTTACCCAGCTGTCCTTTTGTTTTACACAGAAAGATTAAAGGATCACCTGGAGAAGCTTAGGGAGACATCAAAAACACAGCTGCTGCTGTTGTTCCCCTCCCATTGTTTCCCTCCCAACAAGGTTTGTACCTTTCTCTAATTTGTACTAGGAGCAGAAGGTGGCTGATAGGTTGGGTGAAATGCATGTTAATGAAAGCTATAGTCCTTAGACAAAACTTTCGGGAGTTATTATTCTTCCAACTCTATGATCTATTTTCCTTGATGTCTGATGAACTCTATTTTCCTTTATTTTGATTGTACTCCTTGTCGAGTAATTTTAAACATAGGGTGACTTTTTTGAATGTTACCTTTGTGGTTTTTAATCTTTCTTTCAAGGAGCTCACTCTCCTTTTGACTTAGAGTCCTTTGCGGCAAGTGGGTGGATGGGTGAAAATGCTGTAATTCAAAAGCACAAATTGACAGGTTTACGGATTCTGGATGAAAAAATAAAGTCAAGTCTTGCAACCTGAAGTATTTTGCTTTTACGTGATGGACAAAACTTTTAAATATGTGAAGTGGGGGAAGTCCTTACTGCAATCACTTGAGGGCAAACATTTGGCTATTTCATCATCTGCTTTCATTTGCGATTTGCTTCAGAGTTTGATTTTCCCACCCGTCAATAAGTAAGAGCACATAAAAGGAAGGCAGAGATTAAATCAAATGATAAATAATATTGGGTTTTTTTCAAGTTAATGTTAAGAGTTGTCACCTGAATTTCAAAAATCAGTTAATACATGGTGTAGGCCTTACGTTCAGAAAAAAAGTCGATTGCACAGTATAGTATACTTTTTTTTATTACATACTTATATATGCACCAGAGGCAATTTCCTTGTGTGTCCAATCACACTTGGCCAACCTCCTATTCTATTCTATTCTATTCTATTCTATTCTATTCTATTCTATTCTATTCCATTCCATTCCATTCCATTCCATTCCACCCCATCCACTCCACTCCACTCCACTCCCTATTCCTATTCCTGTTCCATTTCTATTTCATTCCATTCAACTGTTAGATGACATGCATCCTCCAAATGTCATAAATACAAGTATTAAAACAAAACTGTTAGCTAATTATTCTTTGCATGATCCTTGGCTGACCAAATACACCTCTAGTTTATTTTGACAGTGTTGAGATTTATCTGCAAAATTCATTGGGGCAGAGATTCTTTAGCATTTATATTCCCAGATAAGAGAAGCATCTATTAGAGACAAAGTCACAAATTTAAGCAAAAATGAGATTTTAGAACAGTGGGAAGTTTGATATGATGTATAAACCCAGCTATTATAGCTTATATACAGTGATGTTTGGTTTAATATGTGAATTTAGCCAAATATTATTCAACGTATCATGTTTTTTTTAAAAAAAATCATAGGTTAGTGCAAGTGTAAATCTAGCCAGAATTCAGAATTGTTAAAGCTATTGATCCAAGGATGGCCCAAGGATATTTGTGTTTGAATTGGACTATGATCAGACCTAAGCCATCCTTCCTAAACCAAGGCCACTTCCTAATGTATTAGTTATCATTCCAATCTTAACATTCACAGTCAACATTGTTTTTGTAGAGGAAATCCCCCTTTGGTGTCAGTCAGAAATTTCCCCCCAGTAAAACTTCCCCCTGCAGTTCCTGAGAAGAGATTCTACAATAGGGAAAGGAGGATTACATTCTTATGCTTGATTGCAATAATTCACCTCAAGCTTATTGGAATTTTCAATTCAATTATAACTATAAAGGAGAATATTTGTAGCTCAGGGTCAAAATGAGGACTCCATGGTGCTCTCTGAATTTGTTTGTTTTCTTGCAGATGTTTCATTACCCAAACTAGGTAACACTGATGATGTTACCTAGTTTGGCTAATGAAAAGTCTGCAAGAAAACAACCAAGCTCAGAGAGTACCAAGGAGCCCCTAATCATAACTATATTATATTCAAAGGCTCATCTAATATGTCTATAAACATGGTGCTAAATCAGCAGATGCTATAAGTTTGGTCCCAAATCTGTTGTCAAACACAGTATAGTTCAATGGTTAGTAGGTCAGGTCTAGGGTTCAAGTTTCGGTCCAGTCATGAAACAGTTTTGATCATCAATTGCTACTTTTTGTCTAAAAACTGGGTGTGAGGACTAAAAACAGAAATTTGTAAGAACGTTGAATACATAGCTGAATAATATATTGTGTTATTTCCTTAGTTTTAATATTAAGACCTGTAGTTCAATAAATCTGTTGCATAGAGATGATGAGAGCTGTATAACAACACAAACACAAGATTCTAAGTTGGTCAATTTTATTTTAGTTTCAGCTACGTAAAGGATTAACTCAACACATTTCTTTGAGGAAGAGCCAACCAGCTTTGCAATGATACTGTCTTCACTCTTATGACACAGTCGGCTCATCTGATACCAAGTTGCTAACACAAAAGGATCTTGTTGACTTTCTGTGGTGTGACAATTCCTGGGTTGACAGTAGAATTCCTAGCCAGAAGGCTACCAGTAGGAGATTCCAGGAACTGTACTCACAATGCCTTTGTGGAGAAAGCTGTTCTTATTCAAGGAGTTTAATTCCTCTGAACCTCATTATTTCTCTCAATCAGAAATATCAAGGATTGTTGTAACCTGCCACTTTCTCTAGTGAAGTACAGGTAGTTCTTGACTTACAACCACAATTGAGCCTACGTTTTCCATTGCTAAGTAAGACAGTTGTTGGGAGAATTTTGCTCCGTTTTACAACTTTTCTTGCCCAAGTAGTTAAACCACTCTGGGAGTTTATTGTTCTCATCTTTTGTCCACGTCTCATGTTTTCAGTTTCTTAGTTTGAGGAATCAAATGCAGAAATACTGTATATCTGTTGCAGGCAAATGAACACTGCATAGATTTTAAATATCATATAGTAAAGAATTGTGCAGTTTATTTGATTTTTGTTTAGCATATTGTCTGGACATGCTAAGTCAATTTGTGGCTTATTTAATAAACCAGGGTTCAACAAACCATGCCTTAACATAATGTATAAATCTCAGGAAATCCCAGATAAGCCTTTAGTCTAGAATACACCTTGGAAATGATACACCAGCTGTTATGTTCTTAAGCCAGTCTTCTAGTTTGACTCTATGACATTCTTAACCAACATATTTCAGCCTAATACACGAACCCAGTCTGTGTGATTAGGTTGTATTTCAAAGCATCATGGGAACTCAGAGAAAAAATTGAACTGGAAAAACGATTAATTCAACCATAGTAAGTGCACAACGTAAGTGCAAACTATATGTAGTCTTGTAGCAATTTAGAAAGCCTCCGCTTTATTCTCTGTAGTTCCTTTTATGCATTAAGTTCCCTCACTGCATTATTCCTTCATCTTTTGCTTTACTCTCTTTGAGATTCCAGATTGACTTCATTTCAAAGGAACGTGGAGTTTGTTTTGCTTCGCAACAGTCACTTATAAAGCTGATGGGCAGTGCAAACTTTGAAAGGGAAGATAACGTACTGTATGTTCCCTGTGACGAGAATTAGCAACATCGTAGAAGATGGATGGAACCAGTAGGGCAAAGGGAAATCTAAATTCATAATCTCTAAAATGATGCCTTGTGGGCATAATTTGTTAAAAAAAAACACCACCCTGTAATATTCCCTCTCTTGGACCTCTCCTCTGAACATATTTTAGTAGATTCAAAAGCCATTGCCAGCTTTTTGAGTTTAGCTGCTATTGTCCAATTTGCTTAAAAGTTTCAGCGAAGAGTTGAAAGTTACTTGACAATGTGTGCGCTCTCAGACCAATGCAACATCCTTCACATCTGTTACACAATGCAGGATTCACTACCGCATACTGTTCATCGGTAGTCAGTGACTTCTCAAAGCAGAGTAAGCAAGCTGCTACTTAACCCCACAAAAATAAGCTCATAGACGAGTAATGCCTCCAACTGCTCTAAAGAAATGATGAAGTGATAAAGAATGTAAGGGTAAAGAAATGATAAAGAAAAAAAACTTCGTCTCTCCTCCGTTCAGGCCATCAAGCGTGCCACAAATGACTAACAAAGGCATGGGTGGGTGGACTAAGGGGATCAAACATCTTGTAGGCTAGTAACTTTGCTTCACCTCCTTTGCAAGGGAAAGGAATTTCCAGTGAGGTAAAACAGCCCTTCTGACAAAGGGCCTCCCAAAGCCGACACGTCCTCTGCTTTCTGTTCAGCTCAGTTCTTTTGGAGGGCCTAATGCGTTCCAGATGTGCTGCTATGAATTCACAAAGGTTAACAATCTTCCAGGCTTTCCCAGTGCTTGCGTGTGTGTGTGTGTGTATGTATTAGCAACAGTATTTGTAAGCAACAATGTCTGTGACTAATTAAAATGTTTGTGGCTGGCAAGGACAGGCAAATGAATACGTGGTGGATGTTTCCATGGTGAATTGGACATGACTAACCCCTCCTCATGCCAACAAAGTTCTGATCTGTCTAAAGAATGATTACTACCGTCATTGGAAAAGAACTCAGGATGTATCTGATAAGAAAAAGAAATGGAGCAGCTCACTCCCAAAGGCAAGAGAGAAAGAAATATACATCCTTATACAGGTAGGCCTCAACTTGCAACCATTCATTTAGTGACCGTTTGAAGTTACAAGGGCGCTGAAAAAAGTGGTTTATGATTGTATTTCACACAACTATTGCAAGAATCCCAACACTCTGTGCCATACATGAAGCCTAGCAGGGATGACTGACATAAAAGGATGCTTGCTAAGATTCCTGTTGCCCAAGAGGGCTACCGCTCTGCTGTGATACTGGGATTACACATACGCACATCCAGCAGACGCTGGTAGGAAGCCACAACTGAGCAGAGAATCACCAGTGATGTGAGCTGGAGCCATCGTTATGGGTGAAACTCTTTTGCTACTATGTGGGAATCTTTTGTTTAGGGCAGTAATTGTGGTTTGTGGAGCACTGGTCCACTATCACAGCCCTCCCATTCACTGCCAGCCAGCTGGCAAAATCGGAGCCTTCATCAGCCCCTTGCCACACATATTCACAGACACAAACCCACAGATACACACTACCAACCAGTTTATTTGCAAAAAGTAAACAATAAACAAATTGCAACCAGGTTTGGTGTACAGCAGAAAGTGGAATGGCGCTGGCTATTTGGACTACCTGAATTTTGGAGATGTTTCATTTTTAGCCTTGAGTAGGGTTATAGTTTGGATTGAATGTTTAGCTAAATGTTTTAAATATCCATTAAATATCAAGAAGATGGGATGCCCATAAACTAAGTACAGAATGTCTGTGTGATTGGGTTGTCCCCATATTTTTCTGGACATTTATTTAGTTGTCCAGAATTGCAGAAAGTTTGAGAAACACTGATTTAGCTAAATGTACATGACCACTAGATGGCAGCAAACATATCAAAAAGGTCTTGCTTCTGCCATCTATTGCTTGTCCAGATTTTGCAGGTCAAATCTAGTAATCTTTAATTCACTACTTCATTTTAACACACCTA